CTTGTTGACTGAAACTCTTTCCACACTGTTGGCAGGTAAAAGGCTTCTCTCCAGTGTGGGTTCTCATGTGGCTTTTAAGCTTTCCTTGTTGACTGAAACTCTTTCCACACTGTTTGCAGATGAAAGGCTTCTCTCCAGTGTGAACTTTCATGTGGCTTTTAAGGTTTCCATGATTACTGAAACTTCTTCCACACTGACAGCATGTGAAAGGCTTCTCTCCAGTGTGCGTTTTCATGTGCCTATTAAGGGTTTTTTTTAGAGTGAAACTCTTTCCACACTGTTGGCAGGTGAAAGGCTTCTCTCCAGTGTGGGTTCTCATGTGGCTTTTAAGCCTTCCTTGTTGACTGAAACTCTTTCCACACTGTTGGCAGGTGAAAGGCTTCTCTCCAGTGTGGGTTCTCATGTGGCTTTTAAGGTTTCTTTGTTGACTGAAACTCTTTCCACACTGTTGGCAGGTAAAAGGCTTCTCTCCAGTGTGGGTTCTCATGTGGCTTTTAAGCTTTCCTTGTTGACTGAAACTCTTTCCACACTGTTGGCAGGTGAAAGGCTTCTCTCCAGTGTGCGTTCTCATGTGGCTTTTAAGCCTTCCTTGTTGACTGAAACTCTTTCCACACTGTTGGCAGGTGAAAGGCTTCTCTCCAGTGTGCGTTCTCATGTGGATTTTAAGCTTTCCTTGTTGACTGAAACTCTTTCCACACTGTTGGCAGGTGAAAGGCTTCTCTCCAGTGTGCATTCTCATGTGGCTTTTAAGCCTTCCTTGTTGACTGAAACTCTTTCCACACTGTTTGCAGATGAAAGGCTTCTCTCCAGTGTGAACTTTCATGTGCCTATTAAGGGTTTTTTTTAGAGTGAAACTCTTTCCACACTGTTGGCAGGTGAAAGGCTTCTCTCCAGTGTGGGTTCTCATGTGGCTTTTAAGCGTTCCTTGTTGACTGAAACTCTTTCCACACTGTTGGCAGGTGAAAGTCTTCTTCTCTCCAGTGTGGGTTCTCATGTGGCTTTTAAGATTTCCTTGTTGACTGAAACTCTTTCCACACTGTTGGCAGGTAAAAGGCTTCTCTCCAGTGTGGGTTCTCATGTGGCTTTTAAGCGTTCCTTGTTGACTGAAACTCTTTCCACACTGTTGGCAGGTGAAAGGCTTCTCTCCAGTGTGGGTTCTCATGTGGCTTTTAAGCCTTCCTTGTTGACTGAAACTCTTTCCACACTGAAGGCAAGTGAAATAACTCTTAGTTCCCGTCTTTTGATCTGTTTTTCGTGTGGAAGTCTTTTCAGACTGTAAGGAGCAAAAAGATTTTTCTCCAGTTATGGAATCATGAATATTCTCATACTGATCTTTCTCTTCAGTTTCATTCAGTCCTTCCCTCTCCTCTTTCAGCACCGTTAAGTCTAAAATGGAAAAACAAACAAATAAAAGTTAACCCCAGTTTAATGGCTCAAAGCAATCAACATCAAAACATGTAGATATGTAATGCATGTATGCTAGATCCTACACCAGGATGTCCAAACCTGATCCTGGTCGGCTGGTGTCCTACACAGTTTAAGCTGACCGTTATTCAATTAATTAAAAAAAATCTAATAGCAGATTTTAGGAAATCTAGAAATAGACTGACCTCGATTATGTGCCATTTTTATGTCTCCTAGGGGATACAATGCAACAAATTTAGAGAGAGGGGGAAAAAAAAGAAAAGTGGGCTAACTCCCCACTCAACAGTCTGATGAAAAATTCATCACACAATAATTCCTTGTGAGGTTTTATTAAGGGGGCAATGTTAGACAATCATAAAAGTCAGCTGTTACACTGACCTTTTAAATGGAAAACACCCCAAAACTGACTGTTTGAGTCAGAGGGTGAGAATCAGGGTGGAAAACAATAAATCATCATACATTTTTTTTTGTCCAAGTATTTCTGACAGCTGTACCTTCTATGTTTACCATTAAAACATTACAATCTAAAATTAGTCTTCAAAGCACTAAATTAAAAATGAAATAATAGAAAACAGCCTACATTTTAACTGGGAAGAGGAACAGACATTCACTCATTTGAGCTAGTAATTAGGACTGTATTAGCTAGCTTACATTTGATTTACAATTACTGCTATGATAAAAATACACTTATATTAAGGATTATAATTCTACATGTCACAATGTCCAACAACAAATATTTGAGCAAAATGTATATTGTACTCAGAATTATTGCGCTCTTATTCTAGTGCGCTCCGTCTGTTTAGCGTGCAGCAGCACTCGTTTACTCGTGTAAGCCTCGCCCACTGCTGACAACAAAATGGATGTTTGCATGACTTTATAACATTTACAGATGAAGAATATGCACGGAGGAAAACACATCTCAAATGTATTTAACGGCACAAATATATTCGCTTTTTGTCATGGTGGATCGATCTGATCCATGATCGACATTAAAAGGGCTGCTTAAGAATAAGTGTGCACATCACATTATCTTGACTCACTGAACCTGGATCAAATTAGTGAGAATGTATTAACTTAAATAGTCATTTATGGTACCGCTTTAACCCCGACTGATTTGTTAGGTTACTTCAAGTCAGGTTTTGGACTTTAATCCCAGCTTTTCTTAGCATCTTTTTTGAAACAGCCCCCAGGGCTCAACATTAAACTTTGATATGTGCTTGTCCTTTGGACAACTAAACCAATCACATCCATCTGTCGAAGTAAAAAGTTAGTTGTATGTAAGAAAAATTATTTTTAATTTATTGTTAATTTATTCACAAGCAATATTCTCATCACAGTTTTATCAGCTCTAACATAAGCATATCTGTGGTGTTTGCCACATTAAATTGATTTCCAGGGCCTGGATGCAATTTAAATTCTGTTTTAAAAAATAAGTATGATTAATCATGATTTCAGCTTTAAAAAAATAAATAAACATTAAAGGGTTAGTTCAAGCAAAAATGAAAATTAGCCTGTGATGTACTCACCCTCAAAGCATCCTAGGTGTATATTAGGGCTGTCAAAATGACTGAAACTAAATTCGAATTTTCTACTTAAATATTATCAAAATTAGAATTATTTTCGAATTTAAAAGGCATTATTTCAGTTAGGGGGAAAAAAAGCTTTTGGCTTCTCTCCTGAGGCCACAAGAGGGCGCATCGAGCAAAATATTATGCAAGTTTCTTCAAAGCGTAATAAAATAACATGACTATCTTTGAAAAAAAAAGTGCATAATGTTTCAAAGAATGTTTATAAACCATATATAATTAATAAAGTTGCTTAAACAATTAGAAAAAAAACAGCACCATGCATGTTTGTATGGTTTAATACAAAGGACCGAAAACCAAATCACAAAGAGTAGGCTACTTTCTTCATTTAAAAACATGAGATACAGTGGGATGGGGAAAAAACCACCATAAAGTCTTGAGACGTTTTTTAAAAGTTGAACTTACATTAATTTTACATGGCTTTCTAAAACATGCCGCTCTCTTATGCGAGACACGAGTGCAATGCTGATAGATGTCCCTCTAGAAAATGTGATAAATATGCATTCTGTGTGAACGGCTTGGTTTCAGTTTTGACATAAACAACATCTTCGCCACACTGATGCTCTCGTTTTCCGCAATATATTGAATGAACAACGTAGCAGCGCCGCATCTAGTGGGTTCAACTGGATAGGCTAACAAAAGCATTAAAATGCAATGACACTTACATCGTCATCGCATTTCGTGTGCCACTGATAAGGCTGCCTGATGGCTGACGTAGTCCTAAAATTGAATGTGAAAATTGCAAAATTTTAAAATGGAATTGAATTGAATGCGCGCACATGGGTAGTTGACATATAAAACATTTTTTTTTTTAAACTTCAAATATTAGGCGTAAAAAATATTGAGCTGTGTTGTACCGACTCTTGAATTTCCCCAAAAAATATGTGGTCTTTTAGATTTTGTATTGGAAATTGGATTTATTTACCAATTTGTTGCATTTGTGCCTAAAATTGTCATATGGTGTGACATAAAAGTTATTCTATATAAAATGAAATTGGGATATACTCTCCCTAAGTAACTAACTTCACCATAAATCTTTATCATTACTATCTTAAGATTTAACATTATTTTGTGCAGATCCATTAGATTTTGTATTATTTTTCTAAATCATCATGCAGAGTAAGACATCTCTCCTCAGCCTTTCCAGACATTTTAGAATAATTCTGACAAACCCTGTTATAAATCTAACAAAATGCTTGTGAATCTTGCTGATACTATTTATTTTTTGTTCCATTGGCTTTTGTATGGTTTATAACAAAAAAAGTATTTTTATTGCCACAATTCTGATTGTCACACCAAATGATATAGTGTCACACTATATGATGAAATGCACCACACCACAATTTGTCAATGCAAACAAAAAGTGTATTTTATATGCATTAAACATTCAATGAATTAAATTAATACCCATTTTTATTAGTATATGACATCATGGACAGGTAGAACTGCATGTCATGTCATCCACCCACATTCGTAATAAATGTCCCTCATATGGCTCTGGGGGGTAAATAAAAGCCTCCTGTAGCGAATCCATGCGTTTTGGTAAGATATATATCCATATTTCAAACGTAATAAACACTTTTTTTCTCACTTCCGCTGACTGTTGTATGGGAAGCTGTTCCTGCAGATGACATAGGACGTAGGCATCGTGCGCGCATCTGCTAAAGTAAGCTTTGCTCCTGCATTTCTCAAAGGAAAACCAGTCTCCTCTTTTTTTTTTTCCTTTACAAATCCTCGTTTTGTGCCTCTAATTTATGACCGGCATTTTGTTCTCTCTCCGCATTTGTCACTAATTGCGTCCTATGTCATCTGCCGGGACTGCTTCTGTGTACCAAAGTCAGCGGAAGTGAGAAAAAAAAAAAAAGTGTTTAATACGTTTGAAATATGGATATTTATCTTACAAAAGGCACTGATTCGCTACAGAAGGCTTTTATTCACCCCCCGGAGCAGTGTGAGGGACGTTTTATTATGGAAGCACGCACTTAATTTCACGTCTTCTGGACTGTTGACAAAAAGCACCCGCTTACCCCATTGTAAGGCTTGGAGGGGACAGGACAATTTTTAATATAACTCTGATTGGATTCGTCTGAAAGAAGAAAGTCATATACACCTAGGATGCTTTGAGGGCGAGTACATCACAGGCTAATTTTCATTTTTGGGTGAACTAAACCTTTAACCCGTTAACCCGCACCTGGACGCCAGCGCACTGAACGCTCTTTGTTTGCACGTGTCAATGTTTACGAATAGATTAAATGAAAAGGGACAAAATTAATCTTGACAAACTATATTTCTGTCATGACAAATCTAGAAGGGATTGGCATGGTAATGTACATGACAATGTTAATGTATTTGGTCTTGGCGGAATAGATCTGCTACGCTGCTGCTGTGGCAGAGCAAGTACCGAGACTTGCTACTGCCAATACATCCACAACATGCTGCTGTGAGCATGTAAGAAATACTGCTGCTGCAAATATAACACATGAAATAACCCCCATATAGCATTCATGAATCACCTCGTAGCAGATCTATAAAGGTGGAGCTGGGGAAGGTGGAGAGTTTCTGAAGCAAGCTACAACTGCTACGGGAAACCCTAGTCATATATTTGAATGCTGAGCAGTGAGCTCATTGGCTACCGATACAGGAGAGAACCAGTCAGCTGTGCCATGTGATGATGTCATTAGGTCAGATTGAGTTAGACCTATCGGACTGTGCCATCTAGAGTTTCATGCCAGAACTCTGTATATCATTCTAAAAGTGTAAGCCTCAAACATCGACGACAGATTGCTGTTTTTCAATGGAACGCTTATAAGTGGGAAGTCGTGGCCTAATGGTTAGAGAGTCGGACTCGTAACCCAAAGGTTGCGGGTTCGAGTCTCGTACCGGCAGGGATTGTAGGTGGGGGGAGTGAATGTACAGCGCTCTCTCCACCTTCAATACCACGACTGAGGTGCCCTTGAGCAAGGCACCGAACCCCTAACTGCTCCCCGGGCGCCGCAGCATAAATGGCTGCCCACTGCTTCGGGTGTGTGTTCACGGTGTGTGTGTTCACTGCTGTGTGTGTGCACTAAGGATGGGTTAAATGCAGAGCACTAATTCCTAGTATGGGTAACCATACTTGGCCACACGTCACTCACTCACTCATAAGGAATGTATTTGCTAAATTTGTGTACATCAAAACATGCATAATAAAAACGCAGTAAATACCAGATTCATCTTAATAACGAGTCATAAACGCATCCACTGCTGTAAATCCCAGTTTAGTTAGAGAGGTAAGGGTCCACTGAACAACATCCCATAGAGCACTTTCAGTCCAATGAAACAATAACATTGTAATATGGATGGTTATTCCTTTAAGTCTAATTTCTTCGGGGAGAGTTATTGTTTGTATCCGTTATGGAC